CAGTAGTAATGCGGGGATGAAACAGGGGGCACAGATGGGGTGTTTACATTGAACACGGACTTGCCATTCTGAAGTGTCACCTGTTGGGTTCTGGCTGAACACTCAGCTCTCCGTCTGGTGAAGGTAACACCCTCCTTTGCCACTGACACTGTAGCTGCTGTTGTTATGAAATGCAGATCCCCGAGGACAACATCTGTGGAACATCAAGAAACAAAGCACTGATGCGCGCACATCAAATACACATTTTGGCAAAAAACTATTTCTGATCTCTTGCTCATCTCACCACTGTAGTGTCAGTATGCAGCTTACTGTTGCAATATAGTCCCTCAAGAGCAGGCAGTCAATTGCATGATCTAATATATTTCCACATCTTAGCTCCCAGATATGGTCTGTAATTCATTTACTTCTCCTGCAAACTGATCTAATGTTATGCGCTGCTCTAATATCTATTTTCAGGGTACGTTATGTGTGGAGAAACGCAGAGGCAGTCACAGACAGACTAATAAAAACACAGAAAAAAAAAAAAGTATATGTTCAGCTTATGCAAAATTACTATACTACACATTATCCTCTCAATCATTTTTAAATTCCTAAAATTGAACTTTTGAGAAGATAAAATAGAGATTAAAGATTAAAATGGAGCTTTTTAATCACAAAATAGATGCTTCTGAAATCGTTCATATGGCAAGAAAACTGCCTGTATTTTTGGAAATAATGTTGATTAGAATAATAAACCAGAAAGTGAAAGTTTTAGTTTAATCTTAAAAGGTATTCTGATGTTACGTTTAAGGCCTTAAATAGGACATGATTGTCACTGTGCCTTGATATTATTTAAGCTTTGCATTAAAATCAGTCTGTAAATACACTTAACTTGATGACAGATTGGTCTGAATGGTCTCACCTGTTGATGGTTGAAGTGGTCAGACTACAAGCAGTAACTCATGACATCATGAAGCTACGATCATGGATCCTACAAATGTTTTAAAACATTTTAATTGTAAAGTTGACGTTTGGTTTCAGCTGCCTGTGGTCTGACCAATTCTGCCAAGACTGAACTCTAGAATCGATGTGAGAGTCACATTCGAAATACAACCTCGACCTAATTATTATTTTTGTGTGTGTTGGTTATCCTGTCTGTGAAGTACTAGATTTTAGATTCATGGGCTGATATCTCATAGATATAAACTAAACAACTGCGGCTGATCCAGAACGTTGCTGCTGGAATCCTCACCAAGACTAAAAAAAGACAATCACATCACTCCGGTTTTGAGGTCTTTGCACTGGCTTCCGGTCTCTCAGAGGATAGACTTACATACTTTTGTTAGCTTATGAAGCTTTGAATGGTTTCCAAGTATATCAGTGACCTCCTTTTACCATATGAACTGTCCAGGTCCGTACAGGTACAGGTCTGCTCTCTGTCCCCAGAGTTGGAACCAAAACTTAAGAAGCAGCTTTCAGTTTTTATGCTCCACATATCTGGAACAAACTTCCAGACAACTGCAGGTCTGCTAAACCTCTCAGCTCCTTTTAAATCAAGGATAAAGACTTATTTACCCTTGATTAATGACTGTCTTCATAGCAGCACTGCACTGTCACTCTGAACACTGCACTGTTACTTTTAAAGTGATTTTATTTATCTCTCTTTTATCTGAGTGTTTTTTTTTTTGTTTTTGTTTTTATTATTATAAAGTTTCATATTGATATTTGGTGAACTGTTCCTAGTATTTTTGCTTTTACGTCTATGATTTTAACAAATTCTTTTAACGTCCACCTTTTAAATCATCTTTGTAATTAATTTCTTTGCCATTGTAAAGCACTTCCCTTGTGTATAAATTGTGCTATTGAAATAAATTTGCCTTGCCTAAATATTCTTAAAATGCATTTACAAATACTGCACCTGTTGTTTTTTTTAACCTTTTTTCAACATTTTTCTAATTCCCGACAGCTGTGAAAGTGTCAGCAGTTCACCAAATTTGCAGTTTTACCAATACGAGACAAATATGAGCTAAATAATGTTATAGCTATAATGAGATAGTCAACGTTTGAATCATGACACCTTTGTAATTGTGACTTAGGACGAGCATTGATGTGGATATTCTTCAACTCTCAATCAGTAGTCCGTTTTCAGAGCAGGGATGAAGCTGAAGGTAGCAGAGTTTGGCAGATTGCTGCAGAGTACAGATAGCTCAGCTCGGTATGCACTAAGGATGATGCGTTTGTCTCTGCCGCTGCGCTCCTGTTGTCCTCTCTGTAACCCCACAGCTCTGTGTTGACCTTCTCTCTGCTCTGATCAAAGAGCTGTTCCACGTCACCTTAAGCCCTCCTGTCGTGTTCGGTGTGCCGTAGTGCTGCCACCGAATTCCATTCACCAGAGTGACTTCAAAAGGAGCGTCTGATGTAGCGGGCTGAGCGAACACGGTGAAAAACAGCAAATCTTAAGGGCACACATTGTTAACCAGGTGAATAAGAATATTGTTGATCCCAAGTAAAAAAAAAACGCGATCAGCTTTGTAACCACGAGATAAGACGAGTAAATAACTGCAACAGAAGACAACTCTTAACCAAACAGCTACACAATGCACGTTACTCATGTTGGCAGTGTTTGAACTTTTCACAGTGGCACCATTTAACATTTTCTAGATGGTAAGATCTGAAATCTTTGTTAAAAAATTATAATAAAAAATAACAATAATAATAATATTAATAAAATACAACCTGTAAACCTGGAACTGAAATACTGCATCCAAGGATTTTTTTTTTCTCATCATTGATCCTAAATCAGTCATATTAATAATAATAAACGGTTCACTTGTTGACATAATCGTACGGCTGCTATTTTAGCAACTTAACTGACAGGTACTCTCCAGATCTGTCTTATTACTTCCATTACGTTCAGTGTTATCCAACCCATAGCATACAACAGGAACGATGCAGAATAAATGCTCTTATAGTGTATAAATACAGTATATACAAACTAATCTCATTCTGCATTGGACCTGCAACAGACAGAATAACTTAAATGTATTTGACTTTTGGCAAGCTACAGAAAAACACCACTTTGTTGTCATCATCTGTAGTGTAATAACCAATGTAACAGCTTTCTTGCGGTAGGCCACAAATATTATGAGATAACAGCATTTTTAAATTCAGGCGGATTTATTGTTTATATAAACTACAGTGATACTGAACATATATATTATGCATTTTTGAAGTCAGCGTTACTTCTTTGCTTATACTGGCAGCATGAGTCTATGTGTCGACGACAGGAAACTAAGGCCCAAAACTTGCACATTCAGCATACTTATGACGTTGCACAATCCCATTTCAGGAACAACTTCAACATTTACTTCTTTAGTGACACTACTTTCATGTGAAAGACAGAGATTAGTGAAATGCTACAAAGGTTTTGCAAATGTTTAAACTCTTCTCGATTTTTTGGGGGCAATTTGGGATTCGCTATGTTTATCCCCCTAATAAAACTATAAAGGTCATATTTTACAGATGCTGAAGGCGGTATGAATTATGTCAATTGTATTTTGCAGTGGAGTTGAACTGGAAGGCATGAGACTGAACTACTTCTAATACTGGCCCACCCCATTTATAAAGACATTTTAGTAAATTATGAATTTAGTAATGAATATCAGCACCAATCTGATAGTGTCAGTTTAAAATATTAAATAATGAGCTTTCTAAATGTAGAATTTGAGGCAGGTCTGTTGTAATGAATTACATTAAATTGCAGAGTGTATGTTCACCCCTGGGCTGCAGGGTGGCGCAGTTGGTAGCACTGTTGCCTCGCAGCAAGAAGGTTGCCGGCTCGCGTGTCTTTCTGCGTGGAGTCTCCATGTTCTCCCCGTGCAGCGTGGGTTCTCTCCAGGTTCTCCGGCTTCCTCCCACACAGTCCAGAAACATGCTGAGGTTAATTGGTGATTCTAAATTGTCCGTAGGTGTGAATGTGAGTGTGCTTGGTTGTCTGTCTCTAAGTGTAGCCCTGTGATAGACTGGTTACCTGTCCAGGTGAACCTGCCTTCACCCTGAGTCGGCTGGGATAGGCTCCAGCCCCCCATGACCCTAGTGAGGATTAAGCGGTGTATAGATAATGGATGGATGGATGTTCACCCCTGTGGGCATGTGAGCGAAACAATGCCTTGATGAGTGTATGCAAGATTCCATGATGTGTGTATAAACTTAGCAGGGTGAAGGAACTAACTTCTGAGAGCTGTTCCACCGTGAGGATGGAGTGAGGTGTCACCTGGAAAACCGGATTGATTGTAGTCTGCACAGCAGTCCATCGAGGCCAGGGACAGGTTTCACAGCAGCAGGGTTTTTCCAACACATCTCCACACTTTTGCCTGTATGTTTGACAATGACACACTTACTGCACTTGATATCAAAAGCTCTATACCTAAATAATGGCATAGCAGGGAATCCTATGCTAACCTACCACATTGCCACTCTGTATCACTTTGCTTCATTTGTCCAATTATTAAAATGCATACAGTCTGCAGAATACTACTGAGAGGGACTTAGATGTGAAAAATCTCTTAGATTGGCTCCAATGTTTATCTGAGAGAACATCACGACGTTGTGTTCACACTTTCTCCTGTGCTACACCAGCCTTTCTAAAAAACAAAAAAAACTCGACGGAGTTGTGAACATAAACTACAGTATATGTTTGTGAATCGCACCCAAGCTCATTCAAACCAAGAACCTCACCTGACTACACGAGGTTATTTGGGGTTGTGGACTCTGATTTACGAATTAACAGACGTAAATTTGACGTAGGTCAGTATTTTTTTTTACTTCCGAAGAAGCCAATAAATAAAATAACATTCTTTAAGCTTACTCTCGCAATTCTGATATCATTATTAACTAAATTTAATTCAGGATTAACTGTTAACAGGTGTTTTGAATTTATGGCGAAAATATCTTCTCGCGAGACTGTGCGGCGTTCCTGAATTCGGCGCATGCGCACGTTACATTACTTCACATCAACCCACAAATGACTCGGAATGAGCTGTAGCGGCAGATTGCTGTATTTGAATAAATATCTGTCATCTGACCTACTTAATTCCTCGTTGACCGTCTCCGCTCCGCCACGTTCGTGGTATAAGAACCGGAATAGCGGAAAAAGAAGGAATAATATGAGTTCTGTCTCAATCATATAGCTAGCATGCTAACGAGCTAGCATAGCCAGCAACAGCATCATGAGCTGCTGATGATACAGACATCAGTTTTGGAGGTGGCACTCACACAACAATGTATGTTTTCTACACAATTATCGCATCCTTAGGATTTTTTTTCGTTTTGAAATGGATGAAAAAGCGAAAGTATTGCACCGACCTGAAAAGACTCGATGGCAAGACAGTTCTTATTACAGGTAATTAAACATCTATTTGTTTCAACAAACATCCTTTTATTAACATGATTTGATGTTTGAGTTCCCCGTATAGGTTTCTGAGGTTTGAATTAAGAGTCTGACTTAAAGTGCTGAATGACATTTACACCAAACATTACTGCATATTACCTGACATGACAATATGATTCAGATTATTGCAAGCAGTATTTTTGCCGTCACCTTCAAGTCACAAGTCCTGCTTCAGCATGAATTTACTGTTTTTGTTTTTGTTTTTTTTCAGGTGGGAATTCGGGCATTGGCAAGGACACAGCTGTTTCCTTGGCAATGAGAGGAGCCCGTGTCATTATCGCTTGCAGAGACTCGGACAAGGCTGAGAAGGCTGTGAGGGAGATCAAGTTTAGAGGCCACAGTCTTAACGTAGTTCACATGGAGCTGGATCTGGCCAACCTGCGCTCTGTGAGGGAATTCTGTAAGAACTTTCTCCAGAGGGAGAAGAGGCTTGACATCCTGATCAATAATGCAGGTGAGGGCGTGCACCACGTTTACCTCCTTTGATACATGAAAAAACATCACCAAAGAAATAAGAGAAAGTTATTTCATTCTACGACACAACTTCAACGTATTCAGGGCCAGGTGACACTGCATGGAAGATTCGTTTATCCATATCTGAATCAAAGTATAAAGGGTGCTGTGTGTTCAACAGAAACTGGATTAGGATTCCTCCACCTCAATAAGTGGTCAGAAACAAAAGAAATCATCAGTTATTAGATGGACAGTTTACGTGTCAACAGTGAGTGTTCCAGTTAAACACCTGCATGCCTCAGAACATGCTCTCTGAACATAAACTGCGTGTTTTTATTAAAGCCCACATCACTGCTGCAGTGTCACTGTATATTTTTGTGGAGGAATGCCACACCAGCTTAAGCCATGTGTTTCTTTTTTTTCCTCCATCTCATTGTCTTTGCCATCTTTCTTTACCCTTATGTTGCTTCTCCAGCGATGCCCGGCGTCCTTGACTGGACAGACGACAGCTTCAGCATGTGTTTTGGCGTCAACCACTTGGGTCACTTCCTTCTAACCAACCTGCTTCTGTCTCGCCTGAGGGAATGCGCTCCCAGCCGAGTGGTGACCCTCACATGCTCCAGCTACAAATACCAGAAGCTAGACTTCCAGGACCTCAACTACAACCTGCTGCCCTTCTTCACATACTGCCGCAGCAAGCTGGCCAACATCTACTTCAGTCAGGAACTGGCCCGCATCTCCGAAGGGAAAGGAGTGACCTCCTACGCTGTGCACCCTGGTAAAAGGTTTTCTGTTTTTTTTTTCAGCATGGATGTCAAGGTTTAAGTTGAATTGCCATAATACTGAAGGAGAATGAATGATGCTGTGTGTGTGTGTGTGTCTGTCTTTTAATATACATTTTTCTGTAAATTGAAAGTTTTTGAGTATATATGCTTTCTACAGTTAGTCTTGAGGTAAGAGGACACAAAAAAAAAACACATGTACAGTAAGGAAAGTTAGCCTACACACCAATATTGCAATGTTGATAACCCACATTTCTATCATGTAATGTTTTTACATTTAAGATCATTTGTCACCATGACAGAGCTGGCAATTTTAGTCAACAGATAATGTCTAGCTGTGGTTTGTATGCTGATTTTGTCTTGCATCTGAAGCAGCAGGTGTTCTACAATATCTGTTAAATTCAAAATTTCTTTCTCAAGTGAACTTACACAAAAAGAAAATTCGAGTGTATCACAATACTCGATTGCACGACAACTGATAGTTTGATATTTGTCCTGATGTCCTTGCTTGCTTATGTTACTCCAGGTTTTGTCCAAAGCGGTTGGACCTGCCACTACTCTGTCCTGTTCCGGATGCTGATGCAGGTGATCATGTGGATGTTTTTTGTGCCGTGTGAGATTGGAGCCCAGACTGTCATCTACTGCGCGGTGTCAGATGAAGCTGTCAAATACAGCGGGGGTTACTTCGTCGACTGCCGGCCTGCCACTCTGCGTCCTTTTGCAAGAGATGCTGGTGTGGCAAAGAAACTGTGGGAGGCCAGCGAGCGACTGGTTAAACTGGCTTGATCATACACCCTGGTGGCCCCTGTGCCAGGAACGCGCTGTATCTGTTACTGAAGCGCAACCTGCTGCTACCTGGAAAAAAGATTTAAGAGTCTTGCACATTTAGTGGACTTTAGTTCTACTGTGAAACCAAGAACTCAACTGAAACCAAAACTCAGGTGTTAATGGCTCCTGGATCTGGATCGGTGTTAATGGTATCTGGATCTCCCAACTAGTCAGTCAGAAGTGATGAAGCCTCTTGGATGAGAAGTGGAACGTCTTCAACGAACTCAAGCATGTCCAGTTGCTAAGATTAATCTGCCAGAACACTCAGAGTGCAATGTGGCATCTTAAACTAATTTGTTGGGTTTGTTTTCCAAAAACACTCTTAGAAATATTGTTCAATCAGTCAGTTACATGGGTCTCTGCTCTGTTTTACATTCACCTCTCTGAAACACAGAGGTTAATTGAATTTAACAGTAAAAGCAGAGGTTCTTGGTGGAGTTTTCCTTTAACATCAGGAACACAAACACCACCATCTAGTGGAGATACAATAAACTAGCAGGGTTATTTAAATCAGCTCCACCCACAACACCAGGAAACGAAACTTAAAGTTTACATTGCTGATCAGACCAGAGACGCCATGACATGAAACTGTGGGATCTGTACCGAAGAACACTCAATAGGAGGACTGTGAGTCAAAGGGACTGTGTTGTGGTGAGTCTTGTTATTGAAAACAATTCCAGAAATCAGTGGAAATGGCTGAGAAAGTTGCTCTTCTTGAAAGCTACCTGAGTTGCCACGTGTGTTCAGAGACTTTCAGAGATCCTGTGTCTCTGAGCTGCAGCCACAACTTCTGTTCAAGCTGCCTGCAAAAATTCTGGGAACAAGCTCAAAACAGAAACTGTCCCATTTGTAAAACTAAATCCTCAAAGGATGATCCATCCATCAACTTCTCTCTCAGAGAACTAGCTGACTCCTTTGCTAACAGGCAGAGTGACAGTTCAGCTGAGATGGAAAAGCAGAAAGAGAAAAAGAAGGAGGAGGTGGTGTGTGATAAACATCCAGAAGTTCCTTATTGGTTCTGTGAGGACGAGCAGAGACCTGTGTGTCCTGTCTGTGAGTTTTCTCTCCACCAGAGTCACAAAGTGGTTCCTATAGAACAAGCAGTCAGTGACCTGAAGGACCAGCTGAAATCTGACTTAACGTCTCTGAAGGACAAGAAGGACAAATATGAAGAAGTGGACAAAACATACAAGGAGGTGATTCAACTCTCCAAGGAGCAGCTGTCGTCCACAGAGAGGCAGATCAGAGAAGAGTTCAACAAGCTCCACCAGTTCCTGAAAGAGGAAGAGGAGTCCAGACTGGCAGCTCTGAGGGAGGAAGAGGAGCAGAAAGGGAAGACTATCAGCACAGAGATGAAGAGGATTCAGGAGCACATCTCCTCTCTGTCACACAGCATCT